ATACATTTGCCCTATGCTATTTTCTCTGTGTAATGGTGGCCACTTTTACTATAGCAAAAAGAGCAATTATTCTACTCAATGGCATGTGGCTTTTTGTTTTTTTGCTTTTATGTAACCACAAAGTAGCATATGACTTTAAAGTTGTCTTAAAAATAATAATTTTAGAGATTTCCATTCATGTCCTAGATGCTTAGTTTTCAAATATCTTGCTAATCATGATGGTCTCATATGCTTGTTAGCTAATAAATACATAAATGAACAATAATCCTTAAGTTCAGATTCACCACTAAGAAATAATTTGGTCATGATGAAATATCATATATAAATATGCTAACATTTTGTTTAGAATATTAGCACCTATGTTCATGAGAGTTTATCCCAGAAATGCAAGATTGGCTTAACATTCAAAATCAATAAATGTAATTCACTATATTAACAAACTAAAAAAAAAAAAAACATATCATAGCAGAGACTACTTAAGATCCAAATATCCACTCTGAGCAGAGAAGGGCCCCACAAATTTCCTTCCACACTCTAACTTGTGGAAAAGGCGTAACATGATTTAAAAACCCCAAATATTACAGTGTCTGTACTAAGGGGTATTTTATTCCATGTGGTTATGACTCTAAAAAAGCAAACTGGATTCACTCTTGTTTCTGAAAGGAACTCTAGTAACTCAAGATAAGAGTAGCGTATCTTCCTGCCTAATAGTTGTCACATTATGAACCCAAGCTGATGGAATATGATTACACTACTTTTGTACCCAAATGTAAGGTTCAGGGGAAAAATGAGCATTAGCTCTACTATGCTATCTCCATTGAGTTTCAATATCTTATCTTGAAAGAGATACTCAACAAAGAAAAGGTATTTGAAGCTGTAGTAATGGTCAAGGCATAATAATTGTTTAAGCTCAACAAATCTGCAGTTGTCTTGTTTTATCAAGTGCATTTACGTAGTGCCAAATGCACATGCGAAACAGAACTTAAAACTGAGACCACTAAATTATATCCATTATTTCTCACTCTACAAACTTCTGAAACTTATGGGTGACAGATGTGTCAGAAAGTTTTCTTTACCAACTAAAGAAAGGACAGCCCAATCTCTGGTATGAGCTGTCATTAGTAATTTAGCAGAGCTAGAAGGCAGTTCAGCGGAAAAGTAGATAGAAAATTAAAACATGGGCCACTCCTGATTAGAAATTTATTCATAGCAGGTAATGAAATAGCACAGTCAGGATCTCTGGTATTACTCAGAGTGAGAGATTTAATTCTGATAACTTTGATGATGGCACTTGAATCAGAGATTGTAAGTGGTGACAAGTTGTGACATATAGATAGGATGAAATGAGCATCAGCAACATATCTCTACAGAAGCCGATTCTATATAAGACCATTTTTTTAAACAGTAAATATAATAATTTCAAAAATTATTACAAGTTTTCAAAAAAGAGGCTTAGGCCTTAGGCGAACCATGTACCATTTTTATATATACTTTTCAATGGAGTATAATATTAATCAACATATCAAAGGTAAGAAGTGGAAAAGGACTTATATTTTAAAATATGAAGCATAAATTGTAGTTTCTGATTTCATCTGGATAAGGAACAACCCAAAATTACAGGCAGAGTAGCTATTCTATGGGGAGAGTAACAGTGGAGGCTTGGGTTTATATGTGTTTATATGCATGTAATGGATACTCATTAAAATGCACTCAGGTACAAAGAATGTTATTTATATTTATAAAGTATAACAATTTTTACTTTGGATTTTGTGTGCCTTTTTATATTTTCTAATTATCAACAATGGCATTATTACTTATATAATGAAAAGTATATTTTGTAAAAATTGCCTGTTTCAAACAAAACCCTCTACCACAGAAATATGGTTGATTGAGCAAAATAATAATATTTCCACATAAACAGGTATGTCAATCTATCTGTTTTGAATTTGTGCCATATTCATTGTGTGTGGGCAAAACTTGCTAGACATGGGAATTTTAAAACACAGCCCTAAAATTCTTTAATGCTCCTGCCATTGAACGAAGGAGTCCATGTCCCCTGTTCCTTTTACAGCAGAAATGATGCTGTGTCAGTTTCCAGATCCAGACCATAAGATATGGCAGCCTACAGGTCCTATTATTTGGGACTCTCACTCTTGTAAGAACACAAGTAGCCAGTGGAGTGGGGTACAAGGAAGGAACTGTGGAGTGGGGTACAAGGAAGGAACTGAGGCCCTTTGCCCAGAGGCATGGCTGAGCTCCTAGCTGACAGGCCAGCCCCACTGGCAGTCATGTGAGTGAACCTTCCTGACAGTGGAAACTCCACCCACTCCAGCTGACACAACACAGGGAAGAGAAGAGCCGGCCGCTGAGCCACGCCCAAATCACAGATCCAGGAGCAAAATAAACAACTGCTACTGTCTAAAGTCACTAGATTTTAAGCTGGTTTGTTAAGCAGCAATAACCAAAAGAGCAGAGTAGGATTTGAATCACGAATGCTGATTACAAAAATGGCTTTAGCATTACACCAAAGCAATGTTATACTACATAAGCTATAACTAATCAGGATAGAAGGAAGAAAATGTAAAATAAAAAGCCTGATAAATTTCATCAGGCTAACATAAATTTTGTTAATAAAGTTTTTAATAAATTGCACATAGTACTGAGAAAATAATTCAGAGTCCTAGAATCTTTAGTATTCTACATATTGAAAAACCTAAGTATTAATGAATTATTTGTTTAAATTTGGTAATTTAAATTTGGCTTTGTAGGATTTTATGTATGTTGTTTAATGATGTCATAACCAATAGTATAAACCTATACAGAAAACACTAATCCTATAAAACTAGGAAAATTCAGATATTGTCAAATAGAACAACATAAAGGATAAAAGAAATACATTTTAAATGGAACTACATTTACAGACAACTGAGCTTATATAATATAACGTAGCCAAAAAAAATTATCATAATAAAAATAATAAGCTAAAAACATACTATACATTATTTACCAAAAGTAAGCACCTGAGAAAGATTAACAGTTATTTCAATAACAAAAGAAACCAAGTATTAAATAAAAATGTTAACTATGTCTTAATTTCTTTTTAAAACAATTATGTATAATCCCTTTTCTTTAGAAAATTGGATAATTTTTTTTTAATTTATTTTTTCCCCCAAAGCCCCAGTAGATAGTTGTACGTCATAGCTGCACATCCTTCTAGTTGCTGTATGTGGGACTTGGCCTCAGCATGGCCGGAGAAGCAGTACGTCAGTGCGCTCCGGGGACCCGAACCCGGGCCGCCAGCAGCAGAGCACGCGCACTTAACCGCTAAGCCATGGCACCGGCCCCAAAATTGGATAACTTTAAATGGACTTTGAGAGCTCAAGATACAGAAAAATACACTATAATAAATATTTTAATAAAATAAAGAATTGCTTTATAACATAAAAATCTACCCACTTAATGTATTTCTTTTTAAGATACAGTTCTACAGAAGAATTGTTTCATAATATAAAAATTTAACCATTTAATGTATTTCTTTTGTAAGGAACAGTTCTACAGGAGTCAACTCTTATTCATCCAAATAGGAAACAGAGAGTTCAATTAATTGTATTTCTTGTCCACCATCTACTTTTATAAGAGTTACTCAATAATGTAATTAGTGTGATTATATCATTGAATTAGTACAGGTTCAGTCCTTTTTACTTGTTATAAATCCAGAGCATAAAAAGCAATGTTCAAAAAAGTGACACAAATACAAAATACCTTTACAGAAGGAATTGCATTAGCCCCAAAACTCTGCCTCCTCTTATAATGAAAAGCCTGAGAACCAGAATGATTAATCGATTTGTACCAGAGTGAAGTTAGGCTGGAAGCCTGCCACCCACTCCCACCTCTTGCATCTTTTCTCATATATTATGCTGCTTCATCGGGCATGAGTGATTCCTATATGGCTATGAAATATAAAATAACGTATGATATTAAGAAAAGAGTGAAGCAAAACAATTTCCTCCACATAAAAGTCATCAAATTTATGTTGAAAAATCAGAATTCTTCATTTTATCAAAGTACTCGCCGAAGCATTTTTCTACACTGCTCCTTTTCCAGGTATGTTTATGTTTATGTACAATGCAACATCGAAAAGAAAATTCATCAAATTTTTTAAAAAATAATTTATAAAAAGTTAGTTACACATTACTTGACACTCTGCTACTTTTAATATGCCTGACAACATATTTTCATATATTTTCACTTATGATAAATAATGGATACAAGTTGATAGTATTTTTGATTTTCGAGAACATGTTTGCCATGCTATTTAGGGTTAATCATCTAAACACCCTTCTAGTTAGATGGTTAAAAAAGTCAGAAATGTGTTTAATCTTTAAAACTTGTTTCAACACTAAGCCTTAGTTTACTTATCTATATGATGGTCGTAACTTACTATGTGTATGTAGAGTTACTGTGCAAAATAAATGAAATAAAATATGTAGCTAATATATCTAAAACACCTGGCACCATAGCTGACGAATTACATACTAATAAATGTTAGTTACTATAGTTATAATAAATTAGCTGCAATAAAAAACATGATATTATTAAGATAGCAAAACATAAAGTATGATTTTGAAAAAAGGCCTACTTAAAACAATGTGTATTTTTCTACTAAAAAGAGATTTGCTATGGTTAATTCAACCTGATAAAGCGGTCTTTTAGATATTAAAAACTTATTCACATTAATCCTCTTAAATGGCAATATATTTTAAATGGCATAAGATTTATAAAACTGAAATTTAATGCAACTTACCAAGAATACATGTGCTATACAAAACAAGGTAAATTCTATAATTTTTATAGCATTAAAATTTTTAAATTTAAAAAATTTTTTAAAATCAAATTAAGAAATTAAATACCAGTGAGAGAGTACACATAAAATGAATTTAGTAAAATTCCTTGACATTTTTTTTAAACAAAGAAGACATTTCCATGTTATATGTACCTACCTGGAGTAGATAAACAGTCGACTATCCCAAAGATCATGAGTCCCTCTAGGTCCAGAATGAAAATAACAGGAATCTGTCCCATCGAACATATTCAATCCATCATCTGAATTTTTTGAAGCATGGCTGTGTACCACATCTAAGAGGACTGTAATACCCATCGAGTGAGCTGTGTCAACCAATTCTTTTAGCTCTTCAGGCGTCCCATAACGGCTAAAGGTAAAGAGCACAGGAAAACCAAAATCACATCATATTTAGAGCAAACAGCCAATCATTTACTGTGTATCAACTGTTTTACCAGCACAGTACTAGATACATTAAATATGCAAATGCAGTATGATACAATACTTAGATATGTCAAAGTTGCTTAATATTTGTTATTAAGCAAATTTAAAATAAAAAACTAATTCAAATTTAGCTATTAAATATAGATTTAATCCCAACAAAATTCACATTTTGAGCAGGCAGATAGTAACACTCTGCTTCTCTATGCTCAGAGGTGCTGATTTCTATCTCCAAACCTAGCTAGTGTGGGGAGCCATGGTCATTCCTGTTCATATACCTGGCCATCCCTCTGAGTGTGTATGGTTGGGGGTGGGGGGCTCTTAAGAGTATTTCTTCAAATGTCCTTGGTCACTTGATTGAGGCAATCCCTCCTGCACTTACTTATTCTCAAACTAGAATGTCCTCAAGTCCCAGAAGGCCAAGAGAATGTGTCATGTCTGTTACCAAGCAGAAAAGATGGGTACCTCACATGCATATGTGTTTATGTTGAAAGCAGTTTGCTAGTCTGCATGAAACAGAAAACAAAAATCACTCCTAAGAAGAAGGCCTTTCTTTTTTTTTTTTTTAATTTTTTGTGAGGAAGGTTAGCCCTGAGCTAACATCTGTTGCCAATCCTCCTCTTTTTTGCTGAGGAAGATTGGCCCTGGACTAACACCCATGCCCATCTTCCTCTACTTTATGGGATGCTGCCACAGCATGGCTTGACAAGTGGTGCATCAGTCCGCACCCGGGATCCGAACCTGTGAACCCCGGGCCACTGCAGCAGAGCGTGCGACTTAACTGCTACGCCACCAGGTCAGCCCCAGGAAGGCCTTTCTTAACTTATGCAAAATCTCAATATTACAGTCTTCCATAGCATCAATTTTCCCTTTTAAATAAATAATCACTCTTGTGATTAACTGTTTATTTTCTCTCTGCCTCACTAGACTATATGCTCCTTGAGGGCAGGGGCTGTGCCCCTCTGGTTTCTCATTATATTGTTCAGTGCTTAGTATACAGCAGATCTCCTGATAGCCAAATCCTTTGGGCAGCAGAGCTATCTTTAAAAAACACAAATAAGATCATGGTATCCTCTACCGAAAATCATACTTGCACTCCCATTGTCCTTAGGATAAAGACCACTGTCCTTGTCATGACCAACTGCACTGCCTAATCTGGATTCTTCCAATAACCTTAGACTTATCTTATGACTCTACCCGTTCCTCTCCTTATCCCAGCCACCTAGCCTTTTCCACTCACTGAACAGCCTGTTCAATGAATGAACAGCCCTAAACATTTGTTTGTTCAACAAATACTTATTAAGCTATCTACCACGTGTCATGAAGTTTTCTGTGCTCTGGGAATTCAGTACTGAGCAAAACAAATATCACTGCCCTTATAGAATTTACATTCTAGTTGGGAGACAACAAATAAATAAGCAAAATATGTGGAATGTCAGATAGCTTCTCCAAAGAAAAATGAAGCAAAGCCACTGGTGGGAAGGGCTATTTTAAATAGGGTCATCAGTGAAAGTTTTATGAAAAAAGTAATATTTAAGTGAAAACCTGAAAGAAGTAGGGAGTAAGGCATGCGAATATCTAAAGGGAAGAATGATCAGAGAGAAGGGGCACTGGGGACAGAAATGAGCTAGGAGTATTTGGGAAATAGCAAATAGGCTGGTGTGGCTAGAGTCGAATGATCAAGAAAGAGATGAGCCCAGAGAGTCAGCCGAGACCTAGATCACATGGGGTCTTATGGACCAATATAAGACTTTGGCTTTTATTCTGAAAGAGACGGGAATCATTAGAGGGTTCCGAGCAAGAAAGTGACATGATCTGACTTTTATTTTAAAATGGTTATTACAGAAAGTAGTCCACAAGAATGGAGGGAGAGATGGCTAGAGAAAGGGTAGGAGGACAAGAGAAAACAGAGTGACCAATTAAAGAGCTATTGAAATAATCCACGTAAGAGATAATGGCAACCTGAACCAGGGTGGTAGCAGTTGAAGCAGCCAGGTTTGGGTTACATTTCGAAGTTACAGGTGGCTAGGTTTTATGATAGAGTGTAGGGAGGGACATAAAGGGAAGAGTCAAGTATAATGCAAAGATTTTTGGCTTGAACAACTGGAAGATGAAGATGTCATTCACTGAATTAGGGAAGATGGCAGGAGGAGGAGGCTGGAAGATGAGGTCAGGAATTTAATTTGGGACACGTTAAGTATGAGATATGTATTTCATATCCCAATGTCAAATAGACATTGTTTGAAATTCACAACAGAGGTCAACACTGGAGAGGTAAATTTGCGGGCTGGCATATAAAGCGTATTTAAGCCATAAGAATGGATGAGACTTGATGAGATCTCCAAGGTACTCTATATAGATACAGAAGAGAATGGAACCAAGGCCTGACCGCTGGGCGATCCAATCATTAGTGGTCAGAAAGAGCAAAGGAAATAAAGAAGAAGCAAGAAGAGAGGTGGGAAAAATAACGAGAGGGTTTAATATTCTGACAGCCGAGGAAAGAAAAAAGTTCCAAGAAGGTAGGGGTCAGTTCAAGTAAGCTAAGAATTGACCACTGGACTTGACAACATGAAGGTCATCAGCACCCTTAGCAAGAGCAATATTGGTAAAGAGGTAGAGAGGCTGCTCGGAATGAGTTCAAGAAAGAACAGAAGTGAAGGAATTAGAGACGGTAAGTACAGACAACTTATTCAAGGAGAACTACTACACACAGAAGCAGGTAAACGGGTCAGTGACTGTTTCCACATCTGGCATGCTGTCTACCTACTCCCACTTCACCGCCCACCCCCAGTTAACTTTTAATCATGTTTATATCTCAGTTCCAACATCAGTTCAAATCTAATCTAAACTATCAGATCTTTGATTGTATGCTATTATAGAATCCTGTCATTTTCTTCTTAGCTTTTATTACAGGTAGAAATCATAATATGTATGATTGCTGGATTAATGTCTATATGCCACCACAGTGTAAGCTCCATGAGGTGGAGACAGTATTGAACTTGCTCATTCAGGTCAGCACTCCTTCAATGGCGTAGGATCCCTTGGTGTATTTCTGCTCGTTCCTGGGATTTCAGCCTGGGAAGAAGGACAGTCCTTCTGCGGGTAGTCTATATCCTACTATGGGCCTCCTCAGTCATCTTCCTACATGTCAATCCCTTTCAATAAAAGGATGTGAGCTCTGGCAACAATGGCTTCCATAAGACACGATTTTCTGACTAAAGCTTGGGCCTCCAAGTGCATGACAATTTCAGCAGGTAACTGGATATTCTTTATTAGAAATCATTTCACGAAAAGCAACATTAAATCAGGGCAACCTCTTAGGCTAGATGGAAAGACAGTCTATGATCTTAATAAAAGAAAATGCTCAGCTTCTGTTAATTCTGTTAACCCTAAAATAAGTTACAAAACAACATCATATAAAATGTAAAACTTCATTTGTTTTAAATTTTTTGATCAAATAAGAATGGATATAATGAGTCTTTCATTTTACCTTGAAGCTGCAAAGAAGCTTGTGATTTGGTAACCAAAACTGGCATAGTAAGCATGCTCCATGATCGCCATCAACTGAATGCAGTTGTATCCTACACAAGCGAAAGTCAAATAGAGATTAAAGTCACATTAAAAAAAAAAAGTAATAAAAAAATATATAACAGCATCCTTGTTCTAAAGACATTGAATTTTACTTAAAATCATTTACATATAAATGATTTGATCATTTTGAAAAGTTCTACTACTTTAACATCTTTTGCTCGTCTGACCTTCTCACACAAAATCGGACAGCTGGTTCTTGAGGGTTACATTCTAACTAGCTATTTGAAATGTCTTCATTTTAACAAGTAATAAATGATATGCAAATATACTCTTAATTTGGATTTAGAATATTAAAGATGGCAATCTGCATATGCTAAACTTCAGTTGCACTTGTAATGTTCATACTGAGGATTATGAATGCTAAATAAAAGTAACTGATTGCATGCCATATCCTTTTTATTTTACATTTTATTTATATTTCAGTTATTGCTACCATATAGCATAAGATATACCAGCAAATCCATTTTTCTACAGGGTAGCTTTTACAGTGCCAGCATTAATTCTTCTACTTGCCACTATTTCTTGCACCTATAAAGTTACTCAAGTTGCATGTGTGCACAGATGTATAAGCAGACACACACACACACATGCTCACACACACAACTTTCCTTTCTCTGTCTAAAAATGTTTTGCTTTAACACTAAATGAAGTGACTCAAAAAGGTAGGCATTATATTTTTAAAAATCCATAACACTTAAAAGTATTTACTAATGTATTTTCTTTTTTTTAGTGAGGAAGATTAGCCCTGAGCTAACGTTCAATAATCTTTTTTTTTTTTTTTTGCTGAGGAAGCTTGGCCCTGGGCTAACATCTGTACTCATCTTCTTCTACTTTATATGGGACGCCGCCACAGCACAGCTTGACAAGTGGTGCATCGGTGCATACCTGGGATCTGAACCCGAGAACCCCGGGTTGCCACTTAAGCAGAGTGCACACACTTAATGGCTACACCACTGGGTCAGCCCCACTAATGTATTTTTGTGTGTGTGTGTGTGTGAGGAAGATCAGCTCTGAGCTAAGATCCATGCCAATGCTCCTCTTTTTGCTGAGGAAGACTGGCCCTGAGCTAACATCCGTGCCGATCTTCCTCCACTTTATGTGGGACACCGCCACAGCATGGCCTGACAAGCGGTGTGTCAGTGTGCGCCCGGGATCCAAACCCGGACTGCCTGCAGTGGAGCACGTGCACTTAACCGCTACACCACGGGGCCGGTCCCCCCACTAATGTATTTTTAATGTAAGCAAATAATCATAGAAGAAACTTTTGGTCTCTTAAAAAAAAAAAAAAAACTAAAAAAGTCAGGTTTTCTTCTTCAAAGCACAATTTGGTAAAATTTCCAAATATGATTTGATTGCTTTGAAAGTTTACATTTCTGTAACATACATAGAAAATATTCTTATTCTGTTCTCAAAGTCCAATTCATGTCAATGTAGCTTCTCATGCACATATTTCAGTACATAATATTGGAACAATTACAAATTCACATTCAGAATTAGGGATTCGTAAGTTTAAAGAATAATATAAACTTCATGGTTTATAATCTGCTGAAAAGTTATCGTTGGCTTTTTATTGTAAAAAAAATCAAATTAACTCTATCAGGCCTGATGGAAGTATATATATAAACTACTGCTCAGAAATACAATTACATATTTCATAACAAAATATAGTTTGTAGTTTATTTGCCTATTATGCAATTAACATTATTTTTATGTTTAAGCACCAATTTTTAGTTTTTATTACTAATTTTATGGCATTAATCATTCTGGATTCATTTATGTTCAGAATACTGGCCTAGACGATTCAAACACAAAGATGAACGAGAACCTTATTCTGCTGAACGTTTTGCAAGAACTGGGTCACAAACGATTTACTACTTATAAAATGACAAAATATCACAAATACAATAATTTTAATATAATATCTATTAAAATAATTAATATAAAATTCTCCAAACATTGATTTAATTTTGGTTTCTGGAACCTGATCTCATCATCACAGATCATTAGGATCCATACATAACTGAAAACTTTAACCATGAGTTACAAACCTGTCCTCTAGCCAAAATTTGGACTGCCTACCAGAAGCAGAATAATTAAATGTACTTTATCTTCCTGCCTAGCCATTGGAGCAGGTGCTAATATGCTTTGAAATGATAAAAAAGCATTACCTCTAAAAAAAAGCAACCGATTCAAAGCATACTGAATCAAAAATTCAGCAGTACATTATTCACTCTCCTGGTTGTTCTTATGAAGACAGAGTCTGTGTCACTTCAGTCCAATACACAAACATCTAGAACAATATGTCTCACATAGAGGATGCACTATAAATATTGGTCACTTAAGTCATCCAAACAAGAGCTATACACACGACTCTGATATAAAATGAGTTCCCAGTCACCTTACAAATGTAAGATCTTTTTCCCTAACAGACTAAAATGAACAGGCTATAATCAATGACCACTCAAATCGATAAAAGTTCTCTCCAGTAAAAAAGTAATTATGCTTACATATTTATCTACAATTTTTCAAGCCATCAGTTCATATTACTTAAAATTGAAATTGGAATAATATCTTGAATTCTTATGCTCTATCTTATTTCATTTCTCTTTTCTATGCTATCACTATTACAGGGCAATTTGAGAAGCCTAAAATAAAATGCATTTCTATTACATATTTAATCTCTTAGCACAAAAAAGAGACACTTGTAATTAGTTTTTCTAATAAGAGAACAGATACATTAAAATTTTAGCTGAACAAAAATCACAGTTATTACTCACCAAGGCCTTTGATTCTTGGTAGTACATTGCATGTAAAATGTTTATAAGAAGCTACTTTTCCTTCATGGGAAGAAATTCCCACATGAGATTCATAAATTCTTAGACTTCTTGGCTTCTTTGGTCTGGAATGCTTAAACTACAGAATATAAGATTACATACAGAATGAGACCAGAAATGCAGGTATGACACAAGCTGATTAAGTATGTAAAATGAAATGATGAATCAACTCAGTCAAATACTTTGGAACTGTTTTTGCATATAAAAGGCATTGGCTATATCCATTAAATTTTCTTTTGGAAAAAAGTCCTTTTTATGATCACGTTAATGGACCTATTTTAAAAGAGTAATCATGTAATGGCTTACGCCTTATCATTGAGTGAAGATATATTTTAAGCCTAAGACTTAGAGAAAACATAAGAGCTGTGAAATGCACACAGAATTATTAAATGCAAAGCATTTATCAACAAGCTCCAATAACTTAAAGGACAGAAAAGTGAGTTCAAAGACACCTACAACTCTTGTCAATAAGACAGCCTTAAAAATTACTCTAATTAACACATTCAGGGGATGTCTTCGCTATTCCTTGTTCCTAAGGAGACTGATCCTGCTTCAAACCCATGACAGTGAGAAATATTACATCACTGAAGAGTCTGATGAATCAGAAATTATAGCTAAAATTTTTTAAAAAATCAGTATCCCTTACAGGTTAGTCTGTAAAGATTTAGTTTTCTTCCCCCCACCACCTCAGAAACACACAATAAAACAAAAACTCACTTCTATACTTTATTGGCTACAGATGAGGGACTCTAATATATGTAAGTATAACATAATGGGTGCACTATGACGTCAAATATTAAACCAGCGGCAAAGAGAGAAATTGAATGCTACTATAAAAGTTATAAAAGTAAAAATTAATTTTCCTAGAAATATTGGAATAAGCATTTATTTAAAGATTTGTTGTTCTCACTTTATATGGCTGTTCTGGATCCCAGTGTATCCAATCATAATTCACATTATCACTTTCACGAACCACATACTTCGCCCACGGTGAAATACGATACAAGATCTCTCCACTTTTACTCCTAATAACCACCTAAAAAGAGAGAGAGATGTTACTGCTTTAAAATACTTTCAAAACTCTAAGAAAATGCGTAATAGTAGATGAGCACTGCGACAAGTAAGAATAGGAGGGATGCTCTTAAGAATCTAAACTACCATCCAGACATGTGACCTTAAAGATATTTATGAACTTTGCTTTCCTCATGTAGCTGCAGTATGTGATCCTTAAAGTCACTTCCAGCTTGAATATTTTATGATTCTCTGGCAATTTCCATCATTGCCAACCAACCTTTAGACTGGTTAATTAAAGTAAACATACAGTAGATAGTAAAAAGAGAAGAATATTATTTGGAAGCTACTGTCAATAAATCAATCAACAAGAAGAAACAATACTACTTTATTAAAAAAAGCCACAAGTTATATCACCATGTCTTTCATTTCCTTTTCATAGCACTATAACATTTTCAAGAAGCTAAAGGAGAAAAATGGGTTTTGATTAACACGGGTATCGTGTGTGCACACACACACACTACCCTGCAAATCTTTTCCACCTCTTCTCAGTATCATCTACACTAAATTCTCAGTATGCTTTACCATATAAAACCAAATATTTTCCCCTTTAACCACCCATTCCTATATTTGCAAAAAGTATCACTATCGTTATCAATAATAAAAAATAACAATAAAAATGCAAATACAATTTTTACTGAATCCTCCATTTTAGACTTAGTACTCAATAGAAGACTGGGAATTTATCAGCATGGTTAGATAATAAAGTGAGCTACGTAAACAGAGTTTCCAAGTGATTCAAATTATAGAATTTTTCGAAGTTTTTTTTCAATTAAACATTCTAAAAGTAGGTAGAGTATGACCAAAAGTGTTCAGATTAGGAGCTATATTATGCTGCCAGCGTTGAGAGAGAACATATTCTTCAATCTCCATTAATAGAGAAAAGCTCAAGTATGCATAATTCTTGGTAATTAAATATTTGTGGGGCCGGCCCCGTGGCTTGGTGGTTAAGTGAGCGTGCTCCGCTGCTGGCGGCCCGGGTTCGGATCCCGGGCTCGCACCGACGCGCTGCTTCTCCGGCCATGCTGAGGCCGCGTCCCACATACAGCAACTAGAAGGATGTGCAGCTATGACACACAACTATCTACTGGGGCTTTGGGGGGAAAAAATAAATAAATAAAATCTTTAAAAAAAAAAAAAATATTTGTATAACACTTTATAGTTTAGAAAGGACTTTGATAGTCTTATCTCACTTCATTTCAGAGAATCCTTATACCCCAAATATTAAGTAAGATTAAGTGAGTTGCCAAAAATTCCCAAGTCACCAAGTGGCAGAGCCAAAAGCTGAACACAGAGCTTCTGATATTCACTTCCTTGCTCTTAAATGGTGACCACAGCACTTTCTTCAGATACCAAAAAAGAAACAATCATGATTTATAATGGAAGGGGCAGGTGAGGGGTGAAAAGGAATGTCTAACTTACATGAACTCAATTCTTTCTCCTTCATTATGCCTCCCACTTACTGAAGCCAATCATAGTGATGTGTGGCTATTATTCAAGTAATTATCACAAAACCATGAATGAATACAATCAACTCACTTCAGGAGTATTTTATCCGAAAAGATATGTCCCTTAAGCCACATGAATTTCTAGTATAATATACAATAGTGATATGTTTGAGAAAAGGTCCTTTTGCTCATTCATCAACCCAGAACAAAGGTTATGGTGAAATAAAATACTAGAAATCAGTTTTCAAGGAACAGCTAATTCACTGAAATCACTCTGCCTAATCCACCCATCTATCTTTTCTCTCTTTTGCAAATGGCTCTACAATCTCTCCAAAGGATGAATAAAACCAATAACTATTTTTGAAGGTATCTGTTGGCAGAGAGAATATTTGAAATTTTGAGTAAAGAACATAAAGAATCTCACACTGAATATAATTTCCACATTCTTTGGAACATTAATTTGTTTATCTTGATGTACGCATGAATGTCTTCAGAGGCTACTGAGTGACGGGGGTGAGAACGAACCGTCCCTCCATGGGTCTCTCACACTCCTACATATTTTGCTGGGTGGGTATGCCGAGAATACAAGGTCCCGACTGTCATTGACAGGGGCCATTTCTCAGGGTTGTGTTTGCACCAAGCAACCCTGAGCAATGAGATAATGTCTTCCTTGAAGACACAGAACAGGCTTGCTTACTGCTTGCTATAAAAGAATGGATTCTCCAAGATGAATATTCCTCAGCTAAGATGCAAACCACCCACGTGAGTAGCATCTATCTGGACCACATGTCACCCCTGTGGGACTCGGAAGAGGAGAGAAGCCAATGCAAATATGATGCTCATACTGCTTACTGTGCTATGGCTAATAAAATCATTTGTCTCTAACTCAGGAGTCCCTTGTTTTCTGCCAGAATCCAAGAAACAGTAACAACCTATAAACTTCTATGTAGGGTAAACTTAAATCCTACACCTGACAAAGTCTTTCACTGAATGACTTCACTATTTTTGTTTCCAAAAGTTCTGTTTCTTCCTTCCCAACAGTCATTTCTATTAGTGTTGCTTCTTGGGGTGAAAACTTAATTACCCAATTCCCTCCTTCTTTCTTGGTGACAGAATTATAGCCTGGGTCCCTGAACGATAAGCAAAACAAAGTTTCTCACCAAATCTGGAATACTTATCTGTGATCATTACATAAAAGGTAAACAAATTTCTCTGTTCTTTAGGCCCCTGAATTTTGGAGGTACCTTTGTTACAGCATTTTAGATTTTCTTAAGCAAATGCACTTGCCTAGAGTAGGCACCTCACCTCACTTTTGATTTGCTGTTCCTAAATGGTTGTGGTAACCAGCTAAGAGTATTATAATAAATATAAATAAATCTAACTTGAGAGACATTCCAATAAATAAAGAATATAATCTTTCTGGACTAAACTTTGCTCACACAACATTTTTGGGGGGATGGGAGAGAAAAGACTACCTTCTAGATTTTTGCTCTCATGAGTTCAGATTCAGAAGAAAGATTTTTTTAAATGATGAGACTTTATATCATTTAATTTATATTTAATTTATATTTATATTTTATTTATATATATTTTATATATTTATATATTTTATATTTTATTACATTATAATTTATATTTAATTTATATCATTTAATTTAATAGCACATGCTATATAGCAAACTGACAAGAAAGAGCCAGCTTGCTCGATCTTTCAATGATGATAAGTCTAATAGCTGACGGGTAAAAGTTCACATGATACTACCAAATAAAAAGTCTGTTTTTTGGTACATACACTGCTAGTATGCATATAAAATAGTATAGAATTTCCAAATAGGAATTTGGCAATATGCATGAAAAATTCAAAAAAAGTAATTCTCAATGACTCAGCAATTCTAATTATAGAAGTTTGCCCTGTGGAAATAATCAGATATGTGCCCGAAGAACTATATCCTTGCCTACTAATTTTAGTGTTACTTTTATTAGCAAAAAGTGAATGACTGAATAATGTATTATTGTTAAAAATTATACTATTGAATTATATTAAACGTTGCAAGAAAATTCTTCAAAGTTATAAAAAAGAATGTATCGCATCCTCCTAATGTAAATGCACACAAATTCATAGACTAAAATATTTAAAAAGTTAGAATACTGAGATGGTTAGCTATAGAGGGAGGGATTATTAGTAGCCTTTATTTTCCAGTTATATGTTTCTGTACTGTTATCACTTCATTTCGTTTATATGACTTCTATAATCAGAAAAAAATAAGTGTTTCAGTAAAGATTGCAAATGGATTATGTAATTGCACACACACTTGTGGAGCTGTCTTACTCAACTTGCATGCTTTGTGGACCTTAAACATATTGACAGTTTTAAAAATAGAACTTTAAAAAATACATCAAATCACTTCAAAGGAATATATTAATGAAAATAATAGCATGATGATTTTTTAATAGTGCAAACAAGACATTTTGTAAAATTGTAACATTTTGTAACATTGTAAAAAAGTTATTAGGCTCTTTTTTTCTTTTTTTGTGAGGAAGATTAGCACTGAGCTAACATCTGCTGCCAATCCTCCTCTTTCTGCTGAGGAAGACTGGCCCTGGGCTAACATCCGTGTCCATCTTCCTCTACTTTATGTGTAGGACGCCTGCCGTAGCATGGCTTGATAAGCGGTGTGTAGGTCCGTGCGGGGGATCTGAAGCTGCAAACCCCAGGCCGCCAAAGTGGAGCGTGTGAACTTAACCACTATGCCACCCGGCCAGCCCCTTAGGCTGCTTTTATTAATTAGCCAAATTAACCCTTTGGCTTCAGGGAGGTTACCATCAAAAGATATTTTTAGGGTAAATAGAGAAGTGAATAAAAGAAACTCCTACCTGTGCAGAAGTCAAATCGACGTAGTGAACTGTATGAAGTCAAATTTTATTTAGAAAATGACATTTAGAACTCAAATATACAATATAAGAAAGAGTTTAGTAAAATAGTGCAGACCTAAAAAAATTTTATGTGTGTATTCATTCTAGAAATCTTTTGAAATGCTTCTTGCCAAAGAATACTGTTCCTACGGACTGGAAAATTACTGAAATAAGATGCTCCTCAGGTGGCCAACTGTTACATAAAAACAGTGGATGTGTTCAGCTGGTTAGAAGCGTTAGCATGCTCTGGAAAACAGTACTGAATGCAACTCTAGGCTTCATAAGTGAATGTATAGAAGACCAAGAGAAAAGGCACAAATACTAAATAATATAATTCAATTTGCCCAGATTATACTTCCAAAATCACAACTACATGCTATGAGACAAAGGTTTTCCTTAAAAAAATGCTTAAAGGGGGGTGAAAAACAAAAAGATATTAACGAAAATAACTATTTGATAGAGTACATGTCAAAGTAAATAACCAAAGTCATTTCTAATTTATGAAGCAAAGTTATCTCCTCCTCTTTTAAATTACCTCTAATGTATATAATATCCACAGTAATTGATACAATGTATATTCAAATATATAAATATATAAAAATAT